TCTTTCATAATGCCTGAGGAAAAAGGAGGAAAAGTATTTTTTTCTAATCGGCTTCATAATCTCCTTTCATCTACTCATCAAAATCTACTAAGAAGGGGAAGAGTATTTCTTCCTCACCTGAAGCCAGAATATGGTTGGACTTACTTTCATGGTAATACTTTTGTCTTTCTAATGTTGGATAGCACTCCGATAAATGGCTATGGTAATGGTTTATTTAATCATCATGTGCATAATACCTTTGTATTTATTACAAGCAATGCTGTAAGGAACATTCTTACTCCTTCTTAGGTTTAGGTTTCTGTTCTTTTGCTTTCATCATACCTGTTCACAGAGTACCACAAATTTTTCCAGCATTGACTGATACAACTCAAATTTTACAAGCACTTGTATGGCTACTTGACTAAAGCCTGAGACTTTTACTAAATTGTGAGCCATGAGTTCAGGAGTAAGTCTGGTTTTTCTCTACATTGCACCCAAGTGCTCAGTCCTGTTTCCGGAAAGTAAGAAGTATTTCTTCTTAACATTTTTCAAATATGCTAATAAATCTGCTTGCCCATTTAAAAACTGATTTCTATAGGAAAAAAATTCTAGAGAAAACTTACTGAAAAGCCTACACCAAAAAAATGAATACTATTTAATTTTAAATAGGTTGCACTTCATATTCATAAAAATATTAATTATAGAAAAAGTTTTACTCAGCTTCCCTAGACAAGTATATAATATAAAGAGAAATGTATAGTAGCATTACATTTTCAAATTAGTATTCACTTATTGATGTCATGTACTAGAAATTTTTACCTCTGGAGTACATAATCAAAGAATGCCTGTATTATTGCATTAGAGGAAAGCGATCCTTGAAGAAAGCTTGAAGAGGGCCGAAAGGTGGCCATTCAAAGGCCTCCACCATCTCAACCCAACCTTCCCTTCTACCCCATCTCTCAGTCTTTGGTTCATGCTGTCTATATTTTATCTTTGCCCTTTCTTCTCCTCACCATCTGCCCCCTAACTTGTTTTCCCATTCCTTTTACTTTTGTTTCTATCTGGAATGCAGTTCTCTCCAGTTCTCCTGCCCTTTCACTGTCAGATCAAAGGTGATTACTATCATAAAGCTCTCAAGGCATTCAAGTTAGAATTCCTAGCTCTTGTGTGCTCTGGAGTCCTTTCCTCCAAGTACTATTGTATTTGCAATGTAAAAACTTACAATTATTATGCTCTCTCAATTAGATTAAAAATTTCTTTAGACTGAATAGGCATTGTGATGACAGATCTCTTTATGAATGAATCATACATTTATTTATAAAATAAATGTTTATAGGGTGCATTCAAATATAGCAAGGCACTGTGCTAGGCTCAAGGGATTATAATCTTTAAAGAACTTTAAAAGCAGAAAGAGAGGGGTGACAATAAATGTCCAGTTACAAATTATATTAGGTATCCCAATGATATGAATATAGGTTTCTGATTGAATTTATATTTTATTATACTATCTGACACATTCTTAGTGAGTTACTCAATACACTTACTCATAACATTATCATTTTTGTATTATAAATTCAGACTTTAAGAAACTTTTTGACCCTTAAAATTATATCTGTCAATAAAGTAGCAACTGCTTAAGTGGTGGTCACTAAACTGCCAGGCTTTACCAAGAGGTAGAATTAAATACAGGTGCTCATGCCTCCTCATTCATTGTTCTTTTAATTATCAATGCAGTAACCTTTATTAAAACAACAAAAAATGCTACTCCTAGAAGTAAAATACAGCAATATTTGATAAATCTTGGCTTTCTTCTTCATTACGAGTCACTACCACTCATCATAAGTAGGCCCATCTTTGACTTCCTCTATACACTTGATTAGAAAACTTCTATAAAATCTCTCCTAGTTTTAGCCAAATTTCCAGGCATTCAGACAAGCACAACAGCCAAAAGACTTTGTATTTTCATACTTCTGCCAATATCTTTCCTTTTACAGTCAATGAGTAGACTATCCATTCTATTTAGGGCATTAGTGCTGATTAAGCAACAAATTATTATCAAATCATTATATAGTTTTTAGATAAATAAAAACATATTTTAGATTTTAGATTTTTCAAGCAGTAATTTACATCACTATTATCCCAACAAGCAAAAAATTTGTATGTTTTTCTCCATTTATATAATCCCATTAAACATTTTTTTAAGATCTATTTATTTATGCATACAAGAGCTGGGGTACAGGCCAGATGTGCAGGGGGTGAAAGGATTCACCAGAGACAGGGTGGGGAACAGAACAGGCAGATTGACCGAAGTACACTGCTGAGAGGAACAGCGGGTGAGTCAGAGGTCTGCTAGGCCATGTGGGTAGCTCCCTGGCTGGGGATCAAACTTGTGCTACAGAGGCTGTGGACAGCTTCATAGGTTGCACCTTAACCCCTTGCGCCACCAGGGAGGCCCTAAACATTTTTTTTTATATGCAAAAGAATAGACTTATTACCAAAGGAGAGAAGAGCAAAGGACACTTGCACAGACACAAGTGGGCAGAAAGCTGCCTAAACATTATTAAATGTTAGATGCGTCCTGGTTTCTAACTGATCTCTCAAGAAAACTGCTTTTATCCATTCATCTTTCATTCATTAATTCAATAAACATCGACTTCGGCTCTGTGGTAAGCCCTGGGTGAGGCACTGGGATAAACCATGTTGCTCAGAGAACAGGGGGAGAGAGAGTGAAGGGAGAATTAGAGCAGTAGTCACTCTCAATAGAACCTTAGATCCCTAAGTTAACTTTCAACCTGACCCAACAAAAATCTACTCTTCCTTTTCTTTACAGGATCACTGAGAATCATTACAGGTGCTAGGGAAGCTCGTGTTTTTACCAATATTTTAAATATAAAACTTTTTTGCTAACTAATCTGTTAATTTCTTAAAATTTTTGCATAAAACAATTTTCATAGGGAAAACTTGCCTCACACAACCCCTCCCCCCAAAAAAACTTTTATGATGTTTCTTATATAAAGTATATTTTTTTACATCACCTGGATTTACAATTCATGTATTGGATTATAGCCCATGAATTAGGAGTAACTCTTTTTTACATTTTTATAAAAAAAAAAAACAACAACATGGCTGAACCAGCAGTACTTCTTAAATATGGAAAGAATTAAAGTCAACAAAAGTACAAATGAGAGAAGAGTTTTCAAACAAGAAAGAGAATAATCCAGCATAATATAACTGTAAATGTTAGTAGCTGCTTTAATTTTTACAAATCACCTACTAGGTCCACTTGTACAGCTGGAGACTCTAGTTTAAAACCTATTATCAGAAACAGTGGCCCAAAATGCCTCAGGAAAAAAAGCCTCTTACAGAATCAGCTTGTACTTGAGAGTACAAGAGAACAAAATAAGAGTCTGAGGCAAGGAGAAATTGCATGAAGAGTAACAAAGCTGACCAAATATTTATTACTGTTTTTTTCTGATAATACCTACACTCCATTTTAGAGGAAGTTCAGTCATAATATTTCTAGTGAAAAGACTACTATTTTCTCTCCAGTTACTAGGGAATTTACATTACATATAAGGGGAACTTCCTGGCAGTAAACTAATTGAACATTCAAATGGGACGTATGTAGGTATGTTTTAGATATTGCCCTAAAATAAATAACCAAGCTTTCTAGGTGTCCTATGATATTATGTTCTTTTGTTACCAAATTTGACTCCAATTTCATTTATCAAATTGTAGTTTTGGAGAGACCATCTACCTTACTGGACTGGGACTTTTGTTCCCCCTTATTTTTTGCTTACCCAGTACCTAGTAAAATGCCCATGTATTTAAGCATTTAATAAATATTGGCTAAATGAAATTTTTAAGATGTCATTTGATAATTTCCATAAAACATTTCTTTAGATAGATGGAGCTCATATGGTAAAGAAATGTTTATTTTGTTAAAGCAATCAAGCATTAAGTCTTAGATTAAAGAGAAATCAAATTGTACTAAGACATATGTCAAATTACTATAGAAAGGCATTTTTTTAATTTTGTAGATTACTTTGTAAGTTAAAGATGACAAAATATTTTCAAAAATGGTAATGTTGGTAATAAGTAATAATTACAATGGTAAGTCCTATTTGGAATGTGAAATGTTTACTCTTTAGATGATTTTAATACATATTTGGAAAGGTCTACATATTTCTTAAATATAATGCATTTTAATAAATGAAGATATTTGAACATTATTCTCTTTTAACCCCAAAATGGGTAGCATAAAATATATAACATACATGGAGAACTTAACATTAAAAGTCTTGATTCATATCTGAAACCAGATTTTCCTGGGCTTTTTACTTGTTAATTTTATTAAGCTAGAATCACAGATGATTTAAGCTAAGTCACATGAGAACCTGCATCTTCTATACTTTCTCATATTCCTTCCAAGTGGACTAATTTGGACAAATGTCTTATCCTGGTTCTGAATGGAGGTGTGGAAGGTTTGCTATCTGTGTGAATTGTATTGGGTTCCCCAATTTATCTCTTACTCTAGACTGAAGGAAGCTCAGATTTGCCTTTAGTCACTTCCAGGTATTGATATTATGAATCAGTAACACAGGCAGACAGGTATTATTTGTGTCCCGAAATATGTAACATAGTTGTGATACTCAACTACTTGTAACAGATATTTGATAACTTCGGTCCCCTTCATTCTTGCCTTCTACATCTCTCTATTGGCTAAGTGACAAGGATGTATCCACGAGGTAGCCTTCAGGTTGCCTTGTTTTGTGTCTCTTAAGACAGTCATACACCTTATAGAAAAGAAACAAGGCTCGTATTGTATAAATCCACCTTTACTAAACATCAATATTTAGAGAATTGATCTAGCATGTGGAGGTGTTAGCTCAGGCTCTGACAGTGTGCACACTCGAGTCTTTTCTTTCAATCACATGTGTTTAGTGATGCATCACCCATATAGTCTGGAAATGTTAGTTCTGCTTTATAAAAACAATATACTGCCCACTTTGTCTTTTCAGTTTTTTCTACCAAAAGTTTGTCCAGTGGAACCAAGAAACAACAACAACAACAACAACAAAACTATGACCTTTCCACTAAACCATTTGAGCCAGTTTAGGACATGAAGAGAAAGATTCATGTAAATTTGTAGCACACAAGTAAGAATATTTGTTCAACCATCTTCAAATTACTTTATATTTTGGCCTGAACTCTATGTTTTCTGTGCATGTAGAGAAAGAGGTGCACGTGCAGGTGCATGCTTGTGTGTGTGTATGTGTGTGTATAAAAGTAATAAGCAGAAAATATTAACAAAACACAACAAAATAACAATAAACTGGAATCATTTTGGTTTTTCATTTTAAAAATCAAAAAAAGTTTCTATTTTCATAGAAGACACTAGAACTATCAGAATGCATTTATTCTATTTTCAGCGTGTCATTTTTCCAAGACCAGGAACACAGAGATAAGGGCTCTTTCAGCCTAAACTATAACAATTCATCTGCTTCCTAAAGGCAAGGGGCCTTTTCAAGACAATCATAACACTGTCCTTTCAGCAATAATACACTAACACTTTTCAATTGTTTCTGCAGAATCAAAGGGATTCATCCAATAGTAATAGCCACAGGCAGAGCAAGCAGCAACACCAGTGATGCATTTCATGGGGAAATGCAAAAATAAATAAAATAAATACCACATGACAAATTATTACAGGCTATTTGGACCATGCTTGAGATGTAGGTGACACTTCCCCAAAAGTTAGAATTAAATAAAATAGGTTCTTCCCTCAAATGCTATGCTGCTAAAGCATGCACAGATTTAATCTCCCTCTAACCTGTTTATAGTTTGTCTTTCAACACATTCAGGAAAACTAAGATTCTTCAGTCCCCAACGAGAGACACAGTGGCCAGATTTGAAACCCTCTGTGGCTTGATAGCAGTTCAAACACCATTTTGCCTCACAAGCTGTCTAATTCTCCTCATCCTATCTCCTGCCCCTTCATGAAGAAGATAGAAATGGGATTTGATCTCTTTTCTGCTTCAGTTGTACTTGATTAGAACAATAAGAGAAAAGAGATGTTCTAGGGGAGAAACTAAGAATTCATGTCAATGTACAGTTAGAGCCACCAAGTCAACCAAATCTTACTTGGTTGACTGAAAAGAAATTACCTCTCAAGTCTTCATTAGGGCACAGAATCAATTTAGTTCAACTGCTGAGATAATTACTACTCTATAGACTCAATCAAAAATAGACTTCAGCTCTCTACACGCATTTCCAAAAGAAAAGCAAGGAAAAGGATCACAGGTTGAGTTTTAGCAGCCCACTCTTCACCAGCTGTGTTCTAAGCTATTGTTCTTACTGCCTTGCTCACCACCACACATGGCTACATCAGCATAGTTTGACCCAAAGATAAAGGAGAGAGCAAAGTCAGACTCAAGTAATGATGCTGTGGCAAAGGTAAGGACAATTGTGTTAGTTTTTGCTTAGTTCAATTCCTTTACTGTTTTTTCAGATTGTAAGAGCAATATATGCATACTTTGTGAAATCCAAAAGTACAGATAATTATAACCAAACAAAATAATACCTGGAGAAGAATGTCTGTGTTACTTACTAGAATGCTTTTACATGTTTGAAGAGTTTGCCAAAAAATGGGAATGGCTAGTACATCTTCACCAAGCCATACTATTATTTGTCTGGCTTTACATCAACAGCCCTGGAGTTTAGGTGTATCAATCACACAGTATTATAGCTTTGTTTATCATCTTTTGTCTTTAAGGGAGTATCTATCACATAGTAGTTGCATTTAAAATTTTCTTTTTTTTTTTAATTTAGTTATGCATTGAAGCACTGGGGTGTAGGCCAGAGGTGAGGGGAGTGAGAGGATTCACCAGAGACAGAGTGGGGAGATAACAGGTGGATTGACTGAAATACATTGCTGAGGGGAGCTGTGGGCGAGGCAGGACAGATCTGCTGTGCCATGTGGGTTAGCTCCCTGGAAGGGGATCAAACTCATGTTGCAGTAGCTGGTTATAGCTTGACAGCATTGAGACTTTAACCCCTACACCACCAGGGAGGCCCTAAACATTTCTTAATTTAAGTAAATTAGTGGACTTCAAGGCTATACTGAAAGTCCAGAATCAAAAGTTTAGTTTTGTATTGGACAATTATAACTGAAGTTTCCAAGATTAAAGGAGTGGGAATGGAGAGAAGATCAAAGGGGTAGGTATTGGGAAAAACATTATGTCAAATTGTTTTTTAAAGTTTAGTTGGGGTTATAGTCAAGAGCAAGTCAAAGTTTTATCTTTTGAGAACATTTTTTTTTCAAAGTAGAATATCTACTCTCTTACTTTAATTTGGTTTATAGAATTATATATCTCTGATATTGTGGAATCTCATAAATATCCAGAGAGGAAAAGAAGGAGAAAAACAGTCACAGAATAATCTGTATTTAAAATGCCTAGTTAGAGTATTTCCCATCATTAGCACAGATATCTTATTTTCAAACTTTGTTTATAACTCTGGGAAAATAATATCACAAGCTTAGATGGTAAAAAACTGAGAGATCTAGATCTGAAAGCAGAGGATGAGGATTGAAAATCTGGTTCTGACATTTTCTTCCCCCAACCTTAATCTGGTTACTAAACCACTCAAAATTAAGAAACCACCCTTAGTTCCTTCATGAGTGAAATGTGGGCTGTGTCCAATTCACCGAGTTCTTAGAATTAAGTGAAGGAATAGGCAAAAGTGCCTAGAAGAATACATGAATCCTTAAATAGGTGCTCATAAAATATTCGTTGATTTTGAGGGAACAAATGCTTTTGTACCATGATTTTATGCAAGTCTTTTCTTCCTGGAGTTATTCACATCATGACATAAAGTAATTTTAGATAAAATGAGTAGCTTTGGTAATTATTATCCTCTCCATTTTATAAGTGGAACAATATTCAGACTCAGCCATTTGGGTTGAGTCTGCTTGAGACAACCATGTCAATCATGCAGTGTAATTTGGGTCAAAACATTTTTCCCTGTTTCTTCTAATATACCTTTACTGAGAATTTGCATGAGAGACAATTGTCTTCTTATTCAACAAACTGACTAGTCACACCCTCTTTCTGAGGTGAATCAGTAAAGACAATTTTTGTTCTGAGGTCTAAGATGTTGATGTAGAGGTTTTAAAAAGAGGTGAGCAGTCACATATGACTGTCTCTTAGGGGAAGGACAGCTGATTAACCTCCCAAGTGACACTAGTTCCAAATCACTATTTTCTAGGATATAGTCTACAACTTACACACTCACAAGCATATTCCTGTCACTGTCCAGGGTTGCTGGGTTCAGAGGGCCAACTCACCCTGATAATATCACAAGAATGAAGTTAAACCATCAGTCCAACTGGTTCATTGATAATGAAAGATAGAATATATGGGTAAAGCAGACACTACCTAACTCCCCACGCTGAATTCCACCTCCACTTTGCCCCCATAAGGGAGCTACATGGAAAACCAATTTGTGAGAACTTTATTTTGTGAGCCTAGAATCAGAACAAGAAAAATTAGTTGCAGAATTCAAATACGGAATGGCTTTGAGCAGTTTTGAGTTCTGTCCATTTCAATTAATCTCTTTTGCTGCCTTCCAATGTCTTAGATAAAATGAAACCCTTTCAGGCATTGTTAGTAATAACAATCTGGCCTGGGGCTTCCCCGGTGGCGCAGCGGTTGAGTGCTGGGTTGAGAAGCTGCCCGCGGCCTCTGCAGTGCGGGTTCTGTCCCCGGCTGCTCCCCGGCCACCGGAGGAGGGTCCCACATGGTGCGCAGACCTCTCCTGCCGCCCGCTGCTCCCCTCAGCAGTGTGCTTCGGTCCTTCTGCCTGCTCTGCTCCCTGCTCTGGCTCTGGTGAATTCTCTCACCCTCCCGCGCTTCTGACTGTGCCCAGTGCTTGTATAAATAAATAAAAATAAATCTTAAAAAAAAAAAAACAAAAAAAAACAATCTGGCCTGGGTATACCATGACTGAATGTTTTAGTCAGGATTTTAGTGCCTAGAGTGGTCAGGCCAGCTAACAATAATGATTGCCAATATTCAGCTTACTGGTCAGATTTCCTAAATTTAAAAAAAAAAATTGTTGAACTAAAGTAAGAGGAAAAATGGTAGAAATGCAAATAATGAAGGCTGGTTGTCGGGATCCTTAAATAGATAGAATCTAAAGTTGCCTGGAGCCAAGTAGAGTGAGGTACCACTGTAGCCTCTTGCCCACATCTGACCAAGAGAGATGGGGGCTGCTGAAGGAGGTGGAGGAGGCTAGGAGAAAGGTTAGTGGGTGTGAGCACTGTGAGCTGAGGTCACATATCTCCATACATTCCTTACTAAGGAAACAAACATTGCCAATTGTTAGTGTTTTCATTGAGTTCATCTGTATTCCTTCCATGTCTCATTTGGTGTTTCTGGCTTCTAACAAAATTGTCCATGGGAGCAGTTTAAAGGCCCATTTTAAAATAATAATTAATATCTCTTAGATTTCCAAAGGTTTCAAGTCAGCAAATTATGTAGGGGAAGCACCTCAGGTCTAACTGAATCTCCACCCCCAACAATAAAAGGCCTTCATTATCAATCCCAATTTTGAAACAGAAGGGAAGTTAATAACATTAGCCAACATCATGATAAGTTCTCCTGACAAGTTGGGTTACCTCACAAATCCCATTTTTGTGAGATCTGAACTGAAATAAAGGTTTTGTTGGCTTTGTTGATGGTTAGTCTTCAAATTAAGGCTTATCTATTGACTTAATAAAAACACACTTCAAAATATTTCACTCAAACTTTTCTGATTGGTTTCATGTAAAATTTTATTGTATAAATGTCATCTAATCCAAGGACTAGTCAAATGTGAATTCTCTGCTGTTTATCACCAATCCCCATAAACTAAAAGGCACAATTACCTTAACCTTATTAAGAAAGATTTTTCTTTTTCAGTAGTGTCTACCTTTTAACTGAAATGAATCACAGTAGAAAGAATCTGATATACTAATTCACATTTAAGTATTAATGACTGAAATGGCATAACATGTTCACCCACCCAGAGTATTAGTATTTCAACTAGGGACTACACCTTAACATAAAAGAATTAAACTCAGTTAGTGAAATTTCAGGTGTCTGAAACACAGTAAGAGAAAAGAGGATTCAGATCACACCCCATCAGCAATATGCCCTAATGCAACAAAGTGGAAGCTTTGAATTCACTCAGATTCTAATTGAGTGCTGCCTCTGGATCCTTCCAGCTGTGTGACCTTGGCCAACCAAATGACTTAATCTATTGCAGTTCACTTTCCTTACAATTAAATGGGGGAAATAATCATCATTCTTCATAGATTATGAAATTTAAATGATTTAATGCATGGAAAGCACTTAGTATAGTGCCTCCCATACAGACAGGCACATGAAATGGAAACTGTTTATTAAAAGTTACCCATCTACTGCAACATCACAAAAGACTGATTCTATAACAAACTTCAAATACCATGATCTTCTCCATTCACTTATGTTTACAGAGTATCTTACGAACTTTGTAATCTTACAAACCTAACAAGCTTACATTTATGAAAATGTGGGTTGTTATTTAAGATAATTCAAGAACTAGTTAACCCTATCTGCCAACCTATATTGTAAAGGGTCTAGTATTTATTTATCTAAATGTATAGCGAGAACTATAACCATCTTATATTGAACTGTCAGGTACTCTTGGATGCAATGTAATATTTGATGATAACAGAACTTTATCCAAAGTCTAGGATAAAGAAGAATAAAAAGAACTGAGGAGATCTGAAAAAGTGTCAGGGAAGCACAAGACAAAAGGAAGGGATGTGATCATTAACACTAAGGGGATGGGGGACTCCCTTTCACAATGTATATGCATATCAAATCATCACATGGTATACTGTAAATACCACTTTGTCAATCATAGCTTAATAAAGTTGAAAATAAATGACTAATCTCTCATAAAAAAAGCCAGAGAATTTTTTTCCTTTTTGTTGAAAATAAGTAAGTGCATATTGAGGCATAGTAAAAAAAATTTTTTTGTACAAGTTGAAATTTTTTTGTCATTGTCCCAATTCTATAAGTAACAGGATGCCTGCATAAAGAAAAGAGGTCTTTAAAGATTAAAATAAAAATCCTGCTGGGAGAGAGGCAGTGTTAACTGGCTTTGACTGAATTTGCAAAATGACTCCCTGAGGCAATTACTGCTAGGTGCCTCCAAAAGATTGCATATGTGTGGGTGTATATATGCTCTGCTTTTGTGATAAAAATCTGATGATCCAAGTCATGAACTTATTACAATCAGGAGTCCTCTACAAGGAACACATGAAAAGGACATTCTGTTTCAATGGGTCTTGTGATTGTGATACCATCCCTTGAAATATCTTAGGAATTGTGGCAAGTAACTACCCCCTCTCCCACAAAGTTTACCTAAGGACTTTCCTTACATCTAAATGAACTGGAAATTTAAGCCTCCATTTTCAAGAGTTATGTAAAAACTATCTTCTTCTTACCTGGAAATAGCTTAGGTTTACAGTAATGAAAAGCATTGAAAATTCACCATTCAGCTAAAAAGATGAATCAGCGCTAAACTCGCTAAATGTGATATTTAATGACTCTATTTTTCCTCAAATCTAATGAAATTTAACCCTCAGGAGGTACAATATCAGACTTATTATTCTAGAACAATTACTAGAATTAAATGAAACAATGATCCTTCAAACTATTCCTAATTTGATTATTGATTAAAATGATATTGAGCATGTAGTATAGTTTCTGCTGTGTTTAAAACAAGAGCTATAGACCAGATAATTTCATTCATGTGTAATATAAAGAATATAAAGAGACAAAATCAAACTCTAGAAATCTGACTGTAAAATTGAGGCAACTAGAGGGGGTAGGAGTGAGTGGAGAACAAATGGTAGAGAGGGCCCAATAGACAATGATAGATGACTACGGGTGCCTTGGTAGTGTGGTTGTCTTCTAACTTACATCTGAAGATGTGTGATCCTATACCTGAATCATATACAGTATTGTAAACCAATTATATGTCAATAAAAAAAGTTATGACCCTTTTTGCTAGAAACAAATATATATTCTTTCAAATACTCATTCTGACTCCTATAAACATATGATCTGCCATCTCATGATTATCAAACTTTTTCTGCTTTGAATTTACCACTTTAGGATGGAAACTGAGGCGCTAAAGTTAAATGAATCCAGTTCAATCACAATTCTACGTAGCTTCACCTACTGTCAGTCAGTATCTGGAATCAGAGCTAAATTGGACAAAAAGGAAGGGATTTCTGCAACTTTATTTCCTCATGAAGAATTTAATGAAGGAGGACCACCAGTCACCTGTGCTTGAGATACAAAGAGTATCAGAAACAGTCCCTGCCTTCAAGAATTTCAAAGTCCAGTAGGGCAGGATGAGACAGGTGAACAGACCCTCATCATACCTATCAAACAAATCTTCTGCACGCACCTATCATGTCTCAACTGTGCTGTGGAAATCAAGTCCCCACCCCAGGTTTTTTGCATACTTTGATCAAAGTAAGATAGGGGCAAGTCTCCCAGTGATCTGCACTGCATGGGTTTTGGGGCGATCTGAGGACTAGAATTCTGGGTCCCATGATTCTCCTCAGTGGCAATTCCCCTGCCAGCACACACCTTGGGGAGGAAAGGGTATTGTCTTTGGAAGGGTAGTGACACTTCTTTATATTGCCTTTAACTGTGATTCCAGAGCCACTATTATGCCTGGAATGTCTAACTCAAAAAAATACTTAAGGGAGGGTTTTGGCAACATACATTTAAACTACTGCAATATATTTATTGATATAAATTCAGGTCTGCATACAAGAAAATCCAAAAATGAGTGGATGTATGCAGTTCAAATATGTGTTGTTCAAGATTGAGTATCCTTCTAAACCTCCCCTTCTTTCAACCCAATGGAAGATGGACTGTCAGTGCCTGTCATCCGACCAGGCTGGAGCTTGGACTTCCAGGGCTAGAATCTGAGGCCCAGGAAACACTCAATTGTGGAGAGCAACAACATAAGAGCCTAGAGAACAAAAGCAGGGACCAAGGATGGATTCTGACAGCCAAAAGCCTCAGAGTTCAAAATAGCAGAGTACACGCAAGTCCATATAATCTGGGTAGGATCACAGAAGGTTAGTCCTTCATTTCAGCTGCCAGAGGAATGTGAGGGTAAAATGGGTGAGTCAACTTAGATTCAGGGTTTTGGGCTAGAAAATAAGATCTTTCCTAGATTAAAACATTGAATTATAATATATATTTTGTGTTTGGATGTTGCTGTCTTCAAAATATGCATTGTGGATCTTCTCTCTTGCTGTTCCCTACCTCTACCCAATCCATGATCACCCATTTTGAGACTTTGTTCTTAGATTTGTCTTACATTTAGATGTTAAATGTTTTTAAATTTGTACAAGTTTTTTGCTGTATTAATCTTTCATTATTATTTCAGATCTATTTTGCTATGTTTTACTATGACAATAGCTTATAGTTTGATGGCTCTCCCTGATTTATTTCCAAATTTACCATATTTAACACTTTATTCAAATTATTTACTTCAGGAGAATATCTTCATGGCTTTGTGTTAAGCAAAGTTTTCTTAGATGGGGGCCTAAAAAGTCAACCAATTATATATGATCAAAATTAATAATTCTTGAAAAATAGTATTAAAAATGAGATGGCAAGCCACAGATTAAATTTTTTAAATTTTTTTTTAAGATTTATGTATTTATTTATTTATACAAGCACTGAGTACACTCAGAAGCGCGGGAGGGTGAGAGAATTCACCAGAGCCAGAGCAGGGAGCAGAGCAGGCAGAAGGACCGAAGTACACTGCTGAGGGGAGCAGCCAGCGGCAGGAGAGGTCTGCGCGCCATGTGGGTCCCTCTTCCGGTGGCCGGGGAGCAGCTGGGGATTGAACCGGCGCTGCAGAGGCTGCAGGCAGCTTCGCAACCCAATGCTCAACCGCTGCGCCACCGGGGAGGCCCTAAATTTTTTTTTAAATTTTATTTTTATATTCCCCATACAATTCAACCCCTTTATTCTGACCCCAACCCCTCCTTTCCCCGCCCCCCACCCCCAAAAGAGTGTCTCTGGTTCATAGTTGTTTGTCGATTTTGATATTTTCTTTCTTATAGTTATTCTTTTTCCTGGTCCCTTATTTAAGTTTTCTAGATTCCTGCTATGAGTGAGACCATCCGGTATTTTTCTTTCTCTTTCTGGCTTATTTCGCTGAGCATGATCCCTTACAGCGCCATCCATGTTGCTGCAAATTGCATGTGTTTATCTTTTTTGAATGCTGAGTAATATTCCATGGTGTATATGTACCACATCTTTAGAGAAAATATTTTTAAGCTGTATGTCTGCCAAAGAACTCATATCCACAAATATGCGCAAGGGGTTAAGCATCGCACTATGAAGCAATCCACAGCCTCTGCAGCACAAGTTCGACCCCCGGACAGCCAGGGAGAAACCCTCATGGCACAGCAGACCTCTCCTGTCTTGCCCGCTGCTCCCCTCAGCAGTGTATTTCAGTTCAGTCTGCCTGTTCTGTTCCCCGCTCTGTCCCTGGTGAGTCCTCTCACCTCCTGCATCTCTGACCTGTACCCCAGCTCTTGAGTGCATAAATAAATAAATCTTTAAAAATAAATAAATAAAAGAGCTTCTAAAACTTAATAAAAGAGAAACATTATGGTTGGAAAATGAGCACAGAAGGTTGGACATTAACAAATGAAAACTATATATATAACCAACAAGCATATGGAAACATGTTTAATATCATCGGCCAATGTAGAACAATAAATAAAATCCACAATGAGATGCCACCACACACCCAAATGGCTAAAATGACAATGACTAATAAATCCAAGTGTTGATGAGGATGTGGCACACCTGGAATCTTAGATTGGTGGTTCAAATGTAAAATGTTATAAAGCTTTGTAAATGCTTATAGTAGCATTATTCCAATAACGCCCCAAAAGAGAGACCACCCAAATGGTTATCTGTTGGCAAACAATATGATACAGCCATAGTAAGGACTAGTTACGAAAACAAAGAAACTACTGAAAGACCCAAAAAAAATGAAACCCAAAAAATATTATGCTGAAAGAAGCCAGACACAAAGGAATACATGTAAGTGTGATACACATGTAAGTGGAATACTTATCCAGCTTTTTTCATTTCCGTGTATGTGTGTGTGTGTATGTGTGTGTGTGTGTTTTTATAACAAATATCCTTTTATTGAAAAATAAGCATATTTTTCTTGTTTTGTCTTATGCAAAAATCTATTTCATGGTGGGGGGTGGGATTTTTCTCTAGGCACTCACAAATTTACTGGCAAATTTGCTCACAGATCCATTTGTTTCCTACCCGCTTTGCTCATTTTAGAGCATGATTTGCTGCTCTTTGGTGCATATATTGAGAAGCTATTTTCCATGCCTGGAAGACTGGATGGGAAGGCTCAGGGTATGTGAAGGTGAAAGCCTGTGGGATTTGGACAAAAGGCCACAGAGCAAAAAGCAGGAGCAAGCAGGAACTGTGCATGCCACCCTGGAGTGTGGAGAGCAGGCTGCCCGGTGTGGCCTGTGCACAGGAAGGCAGGGCAGCACTGCCCAGGCGCCGAGCAGCAGACTGGAGACCAGCAAGAGAGAGCTCAGGCCAGGGCTAGTGAGGGTGCCAGGTCAGGGAGACTGCCTCTAATCCTCCCATAAGGGCTGAGTATTGGAGAAATGCCAGAAGAATCTGAGACAGGGTTTCAGCCCTCTGATCTTCACAGTGGTTTCTACAAGTTCTCCCCTCTATGGATGGGGGTTTGAGAGGAAGCTCAGGGCTCCATGGCCTCATCACCCTCATCTGAGTCCTTTCTGTGGTGGCTCCTGAAATCTCTAAGCAGCATTGCTTCTCCTTGAACTCTCAGGATGCAGATGTGCTTAGGAGCTTTGCTTTTCAAATAAAAGAAAAGATGAAAGCTTCCTCAGGTCTCTAAAGTAAATTCACTTTGGATCTTTTAAGGTTGGTTCTATATGCTAACAGATCATGACCTTAGGAGTAATTGTGATTAGAAAAACCTTGTTAACATTCAGTTCTTCTCTTCTAAGTTTGATCCTCACCTCCCACACTCCATCACCTATTTCATTTCTCACACCAAAAAATTATAAGGTGCACCCAGAATAGATCTGTCCATGGAAATGTCTCCTCAGTGCAGAATGCGGATGAAGAGTATCTTTGTTTCTCGTGGTAAGGAGTGCCTAGACCTTAGCAACTATACAAGAGCTATTAAGTGACATTTAATGGAACTGGAATCACCATTTGGAAGAAGCAGCAAGACAACAAGAATGCAGAGCCTCTCGATAGAACTTCAAAGTAGCTGGGAAGGGAGAAATAGGAAAGAAATATTAGAGGATAATTCCAGAAAGTCAGAGGGAACAAAGGACTTGGAGAAGCAATAGGGTCTGGGAAAATATTCTAAAAAAAGCTGCATCCACTGATGACTATGGAAGAGAAGAGATGGGTATTATCTGAAGACTCAAAAGACTGGCATGGGAGGGGGGAGCAAATACTGTTTAAAAATGAACAATGATGTAAAAAAAATCAATAATTTTTAAAAAAGAAATAGAAAAAAAAAAGACTGGCATATTGTTCTGGCCCAGTGCCCGGCACACATGACGACCTGGCGAGGATTCTCAGGGCTCTTCTGTTACAGCAGGGATCACATGTGTGCTCAAAATGTGTTCTTTCTCTGGGTTGGAGGTGACAGACAGTCACATCACGCACCATCCCTTTTCCACCCTAGTTCCAGCCAGGCAGCAAACCCAATCGACACCCAGTCTGTCTCAACCATGTGGTTTTCCCAGCCAGCTGAACAAAATATTTTCAGAATGTGGAATGTAAACAAAGTTCCCACTGCTAGCAATTCTCTGTCATTTACTTGTGTTGTTTTTTATTTTAGTTTAACTCACATTTGAATTCAAAAGGTTGCCAGCCTGCTTGATGCATGTAAACAAATCAGAAATATAGATTAGAATTGCAACTGATTAGTTAGCTGTGAAAGTGTTTGTGTAAATGGAAGGGGGGACAATCTATTATGCTCCTGGGATATTGCTTCTCCACAGGAAATTCAATTGTGAAAGGGCTTTAAAAGCAATGACTTTAGTCATCTGTGTTCTTACACACTGGTTACAGTAAATGTTAA